CTGATGAAGTCTCTACCACTGAAGGGGATCCTACTCCATTCCCAGTCTAGATCCATCACCAGCTGGATCCAGAAATGCAGCCCCATTATTCCACTGCAGTAAGGAAACGTGCCCATGCATCCAGCTTTGAAACGTGTTTGTGAAGATGAGAGACACTGTGCAAATTAGAAGCAAAGAAAGTCTAACCTCACACTTGGGAGGGATTCCCAGTCTGGTAGCTCAGTGCAGTCTCTAGTGTAAATTGGAGCAATTTCTCTTTTTACACACACTACCCAAAGCTCTTAATTTAAACAAACTGTATTTTCCTAAGAAATCAACAGGGAAATAATTTATGTGATCCTGTTTCTTCAGCTCCACCCACACAGTTGATGTGACTCATGATCCTCAAAGTTGTCTCAGCTTTCAGGGATATTCATATTCGTACTCTCTCATTCGATTTGCTGTAGCACAAGCTATGCTGAGAAACAGACACCTGCTTTACAGCTGTGAGAAAAATAAGCAACTTGACAGCAATTAGAGTAAGACTTTGCTTTGACATCAGTTCTGGAAAATTGCTATTTCCTTGGGCTACCATGGTCTCTGAAGAATGGGGAAATGTCAGCAAATTTTAATGACTGTTCTTAAGGGGAAATAAGGGAAATTTGAAGAATTATACTTGCAGATTAAACTGCAGTAACCTAAAACTTCTGTAGAGTCCTACTGTTCAACTACCAAAGTGAAAATGAGCCCACTGAATTGCCCTTTATATTTGCTGCCAAGAAAACCTCCCCAAGACTTTGCACATATGCCAATGCTGCTGGATTTAATTCTACTAGAGACTGGATGAAAACTATTCACTTCCATTTGGAAAATACTCAAAAATTCCTTTTTTCTTTTTCCCTTGAAACAGTGAAATCTGAAAAATGAACACCTACCACACGGCACAAATCCTTATGAGTTTCAGTCACATAATTATAGCTGCATCCTCATCAAAACCACTGGAAACCTTCACTGCTGCAAACCCTCCATCAATACATACGACCCAAAAGTCAATATACACATGGAATGGGCTCTGGAAAGTGGATTCCATTAACTATAATTATTCCTGATGAGCCTTCCACGCAGCTACCAGGGAGGATGCGCCTGCAACCAGCTAGTCTGGCCCTGCCCTGCTGCGTGCCTATGGAATGAAACCTAAAAACAAAGTAGAGCTATTCTCAAAACAAAAGGGAAAAACACCATGGAGAATTTGGCATTACTTGGCTCATATAAAGTAAGCATGCAAGTGGTGCATAGCACACAGATAGACACACAAAACTGGAGTCATTTCAAAAGGCTCACCAAAAGGATGAAAAGGGGTATTTGGGAGAAGAAAACCATGTTGACAGCATTTGCTGAAAAACTTCTTTAGAATTTACCTCACTGTCAGGAAAGAATCAATAGCAACTTTTCCATTTCCTGTATTTCCATACATGAGGAAACAACTCAGTATTATCACACATTTGCTCCTGCATATCAATTTGGCTATTTCATCTGCATATTTTATGAAGATCCCATTTGGAGGGAGACAGGGAAATGAAACATCAGTCTTGTGATCTCTTCCTTCTGAAGATATTGATTTCAAAGTTTTCATTATCGACTTGCTAGTTTGATAATCCCAAGACAACACCTGACAAAACTTTCTTGATGGAAAGGTGAGCTCGTTATGTACAAGAACGTTTGAGCACTTCTCTTTATCGCTTGCACATTGCTAATATTTTGTACTCTATCCTTCGGCTCTCTTTCTCTGTGTACCTTTGTCAAAAGCAGATGACTAGAGGGGTATATGGGCATGTGTGGCTATATTTGGCATCACGTACATTGAGATATAACCCTGGTTATGGAGCAGTGCTCACCAGCACAGGGTGTTCCTGTAGCTGTCCTTATAATGTAGGCAACACAGCTGTTAAAACTAATTAGATTTAACAATTAGATATGCATGGAGAGAAGTAGCAACAGACAAAGCCCAGCAAGATGAATCTGCCATACTTAATCATCCCTAAATGATAAATGCTAAGCAGCATTTCAAGAATTCCATATATGCTAGTAATCTGACCCAAAGAACACTTTTATCTGCCTTTAGTATTAAACTTAATTTAAAGGAGTTGATATTGCCTGGCTAAGCATACTGATAAACATTTATCAAACATACCCTTGTAAATCAGATCCCTCAGCTAACAGATTTGCCTGTGCAATCACATTAAGCTACTTGGAAACAAAACAGAAAACCAGTTAATAGGTATCTCGTGGAAATTTTGAAACTGCTTTTCTTTGAAAGGGCACAACATTAAACCACCTAAATGAAAGATAATAACTGTTACACAAAATTACAGTAGAAGTCGGTAGCTTGTTAATCAAATGTGTGACTCATCTTCACTTTTCCATGATAAAAGGATTTTGTTAGAAGTGAAATTATCAAGTTCCAGGATGCAAGAATACACAGCAAAATGGGACAGCACGATTTCCTGCAAAAGGGAAACACCATCCCATGATAGCTGAGAGTGTTTATATTTCAAAAGAAACTAGCAACAGCACATCAGCATACTAACTAAAAAAGCTCATATTTAATGTTAACGATATGAAGGCAGGTGCATGATAATTGATCCTGTTCTCACTTCTGGGCTACACCATGAATTTAGGAAACCTGAAATAGACTTACTGTCCTTCCACCGCCATATAGCCCAGGATAATGTCCTTCCTTACTGATGTATTTACTGAGAAATCAGATACTGAACTAAATCAACTTTTTTAGTAGCACTTAATTGTGTGATCATAGTATACTTGATTCTTTAATTAGATTTCACAGAAAGATTATTTTATGCTAATCAAACACCAGCACTTCAGCTCTGATTCAGTAAGCTTCACAGTACCTGCTACAGGTTCCATTACTATAACACTAGTCCCCAGTACAGCAGATTAATGCTAGAGTTATCGTGTCTACATACTGAGTGGCAGTGTGAAAAGGTGGACTGAGTCTGCAAGGTGAACATCTGCCTATAGCACATGCTTAATTTTGTTTGAATAGAACCAAATACTTGAGGAAGTTTGTACCAGCAGTTAGGCCCCTTGTCGATACTTACTAAGCAAATAATAAAGCACTGCTTCTAAGGCAGGCATATTCAAAGCGCTTTTCCTGAGAAAATGCCTTTTGCTCATCTTCACCAGATTTTGGTTATAAAAGAATGCCAGATGAACACTAGATTCTCTAGGATACAGGGATTTGGCTGGCCCTAAGCATACGTAAATTAGGTTTAAACTTGCTGCACAGATCTCAGTTAGCAAGAGAAAAAATCACGGCAGAGAGAGTCACAAAAATATTTGAGGATGAGAACATTTTTTTTAAAACCCTAAACGTATGGCAAAATCTCAAGATAGGAAACTTGGCTTTAGTTCCCTATACTTGAAGGGATTTGAACTGAAATCTCTGAGGAGAATACCCTAACTCTGGTGGGTTTGAAGCTGAGCGTTTCCTGTCTCCTGGCTGATATGCTTGTAAAAATATTCATTGCAGATTCTGAAGCCAGCCTGCTCCATAACTTGGATAAACACCCAAACCATTACTTGGCAATTACGGGGTAAGCTAGGAATGTTTCAGAATCAAAAATAATTCCTCGTTATTTCATTAGGATCAAAAATGGAGAAAAAAAATGCCCAGAAATCCTATTCACTGAACCCTTTGTATCTATTGAACCCTATTGTATGTCAGGTCCAGCAATGAGTTAGGACTACGCGCAAGTCCTCCACCAAGCCTGAGCATCAGCACGGCTCTGGAAGATACTGTTTTGCAAAGCAGAAGGTTATTTCAACAGCACTTGACAATTTCTTGGTGACAAAAGCTCACCAGCTTTTGCATTAGGAGGTACTATCTTCAGGCAAATTGAGGTTGGATTTTTTCCCTTGACTTTCATCTCCCAAATATGTATTAAACTTTCTTATTGCTCTACTAGTATTCGATTAGCTTTTGGGAGATGCCAGCTTGTTTCTGCTTCAATAGCTTCGCCTAAATACTCAAATTAACTTCCCTAGTTCACTCAGAAAGCTATTTCCTAACTAATATAGTTTATTAGCATGCAGCATTTCTGGCAAAGCAAGCAGAATATTAAGTGGGATACTGTAGCAGTGTATGGAATTCCGAAGGAATGGGGAAATACTTAACATTCCTCTGAACCATAAGATCTTTTCTTCTGCTTTTTCACTGGAGAATGTATCAAATGGCCTCTGCTACGATGCTTCAGTGGAACCTTAAAGCAGTCTCCCCTCATTACCTGCCCAGGCTAAAAGACCAAAACACGTACTATGATTCTCCCGTGACAATTTTGTTGGCCAACAATCTCTACTGCAAAATGCAAATAGAAGTGGGAAGGCACTACTGTATTTTTAAGGCTTAGGGACAAAAATATTCCTTTGAGGTAAAAAAGGCAGTTTTTTTGGCTGAGCTGTGGTCTGTCAGTCCCCAAGTTACACGTTGAAGAAACGCTGCAAGAAAATTTAATCTTGGAAAGTAACATAACACTTGCTGCTTACATAAACACAAGTCTCATAATGGCCAAAGCTGTCTGACAGAACCCCAGTGAAGCACTTCAGTTCTGTGCACACTTCCATTTTTCTCTCTTCACCAAATCTAGCCACCTGCAAAGCACAGTCAGTGCTCATCCTGTCTCTTTCCAACAGGGTGAACTCCAACAGATGACCCATGAAACAGTTATTTATAAACAGAATGAAAAACTAGAGGAATATACATATATATATCAATATGCGCTAAACTATTAAGAATAGACTATCTGTTTAGGGTCAGCAGGTAACATCTGTCTGTAGCTGATATATATTAGCAGTAAGATTTTGAGAAGTTTCATTTTTTTCTGGTTATTCCTCAATCAAATCAACAATGATTACACTGGAGAGGTACGTTGACAGAAGGATGAAGGATGACAGAAGGATGACAGAAGTTTCCAAGTGACACTTAAATATCACATGCTTTCATCCTACCTTAATGATGTGTTTCTGTCTCTTTCATCACCTTCTATGTTATCTTTCTGTGAAGAAAGAAGAGAGAAAATGTAAACATTGGGTTACAATTCAAGACCAGCTTGGTCCAATGTCCTGTTATGCCGCTGTTCTTGTCTATTTTTAGGAGAACAAATTATTTCATAAACACTTGTTCATTTAAGTGTTTCTAATTTTCTTGTCATGCTCGAGACTGCATCCTATCATTTGCTTAGCTCATAGCTCATCTAAGGGAACAGAAAATTCATTAACACAGTTCCAACAGAAACAGCTAAAAAAGCTGTCACATTCAAAAAATTAAAATGATATGTTTAAATGACTACTAAATTAATGGTCTCGTTCGGCATATGAGAAAGCAGTATATTAACTCAATAGAAACAGGCATAAATGAAAAGCATTCTTTTCTTAGACCAGAAAGGGTATCTATATACACCATCTTGTGTGAAAAACGCAATTAAAAAAGTTAATCCTGCTTGATGTGGCCATTTGGGAGTGATTTTAAAAATTCTCCCCAGACTAGCTGGCACTTCTGCCATTTAAGACAGAACTAGGATTCAGTTCTAAAAGACTTCAGCTGTATTATTTTAATCTATTAAGATAAAATTTTGATCAGATCTTATGTTATCTGGACATCAGACTGTTAAAAGGTGCAATTAGAAACGAGAAAAACTGTCAAGCTTTGCAATCCTTTTCATTTTGTATCCTTTCATCCCTTGCGATTCTTCCTGCTTGAGTGTCATAACCTAATCTGGAAAACGAGGACATCACAACCATTCACCATTTTGCAGCACAGACATAAAAGTGTTACTGTAATTACATCTGTCATGCAGTCATCTCATAGTAGTGAAGCTGGCACTATGTAGCTAATCGGAGGTACTCAGGAAGGACTTGTCAGGCACAAAAAGGGATCAACTAACCTTTCATTAACCCCAAATTTAAGCAACCTTGCATCAATTACCATAAAAAGGGAAAACTTCTGACTTAGGCAGCAAGTCAGTAAAACACTTAGGCATGTGCTTAACTTTAGCAACTTTAATATGCTAAAAACTTGCTAAGTAGGTTGGCAAGCAGTGAAGTGCCTCACTAAGCAAAGCAAGACCTAAGTCTTGCACATTTGCACTCGCCCCTCCCGAAGCTTACACTGCCTGCCAAGAGAAATTTGACGCAGAGCACTGAACTACCCAATTTCCTTTCATTTACATTCCTAATACTACTAATGCTCAAGTGAAAAGGAAGATGAGGAACCTAACAGCTTGAATCAATGGTTTAGTCTGCGAGAAGGCCAACTGGGAGAGGCAGGCTCAGCTCTGGGCTGAAATGAAAGCCCACCACAGCACACGCTTCCTGCGTGTTCTTTCCTCTTCTCCCCCAACAAATACATCTAGTCTTCAGTTTAGCTCTACGTTCCCTCTAGAGAGGAGGGCTCGTCACTTTTACATCTTGTTTTAAATCGAGCATTTCTCACTTTTCAGCACCAACACATGCTGGATGTACCAACCAGACACGCTTGGCCGTGGCGGGAAGTGCTGGGGAGGCTGGGCCAGAGACCTCTCGAGGTGGCCTCCAAGTCCAGCTGCTCTCAGCAAGGCCGGTCGCTCTGGCTCTGTGCTGCAGCACACGCCCAGGAAGGGGAGTTGGGTTCAGTTCCTTCTCGTCTCTCCCACCCCAAGAGCTCCACAGCCCCTTGCTTGGGCTCCAGTGCGGGGTGGTGTTTGTGCCTCCCCATGAGGCACATGAAGCACATTCTACCCCAACCTTCCTGCAATATTTTAGCAATCATATGGGGCCTGCATCCGCACCCTCCCCTTTCCTCTACAGCAACTACAGTTCCTCAAGATCAGAGTCTGCATAATTCTTGCTCAAGCTCTCTCTAGGACAACCAGCTGTTAATTATTCCACGTTCTTCACTGAACTCTTCAGCACAGGGGCACTAAGCACCTTCTGCCGAGCTAGACACTCCTGGCATAGAAAAGCAAGTCTCTATAGGAAGGGAGTAAGCAGTAAGCAAGTAGGGGCAATGCTCACAACAGCAGCGCTTGCTCCACGACCCCTTTAGCATACTTAATTGTTTCCTAATTGCACAGGGCTTTCTGAATAACAGCAACGATTTCTCCCGGGATCTTGGCAGTTAGCGGAAGAAACTCTGCTAATTAGCAATTCTTTCAACAATTTTAAAATGCATCACTTGAAGCCAAAGGGGACTGAAGCCACAAAAAAGGAGAACAAGGCTGCAAAATAAATAATATTCTGCATCACAAAAACACACAAATACTTTTTTTCTCATTCCCATTGCAAAATTAGACTTTGGCTCTGTATATCTGGACCTCTCACTAACAGCTAAACCATTTATGGTAGGGTTTGCAAAGCAACTGCATTTGACCATGATAATATTTAATTATTAAATGCAAATACAGAAACGTCTCCAAATTGTTTTTGTTCTGTTCAATACATTAAAAAAATAGATTCCTATACCATCTTGCTTCCTTTGCCCTGCACACAGTCAGCCCTGCAATACAGTATATTGCAAAACCACTTCATCGTAGTGCTCAAAAAGCATTTTTGAGATCCCCCCCCCCAAGAGAACTAATAGATCATATAATCATAGTGCCTCCAGCTCTTCATAGGCTCACAAGGAGAAGCTTTCAATTGCCCACAGCACAATAGCTTAAAAATGAGTTCCACACAACCCCAGGAGAGTTTGTCCTCTTCAGTTATTATTGGAGCAGGCCTGCAAGACAGTTTACTACCTACTTAACATCTCAAGTGCCACATCTCCTCCCAGAGCAGTTCTTGTGGCACACTGCAAACAAGCCAGACAAACATTCTGAACGCATACGAGTTCCAACACTTTCCTTTAAGTCTCTTTCCAGCTCTTTGTAATATCTCGCCTACAAACTTCAGAACTGATTTGTCTTACTGTGCTCCATAGGAGAATGCAACTGACTTTTTAGGGACAAAGATGAAAGAAAGGACATTCCTCTCACTAAGGCTGGTTTTGCGTACTAGAAATACGTACAAATGTAGTTTTGTGGCGTGTAGTACCAGTAATGTAGCATTTTCTGGTTTAGGACTGATAGAAACTGCTTCGGAAACAAGTGTCATTGCCTCCCAAAATCATGCAGTACATAGAAGTGGATGTCACACACAGGAAAGCAATGTGGGATGGCAGCATGCTCCGACCCTGTCAATTTTGGAAAATCTCAGCCACCCTCTCTGGTTTCCAACATCTGCCAACATTTCCGCCTTTCAGAAATTCTTGTTATTTCTACTTAAGTTACTAAAAGAAAGAAATCCCAGAAAAGTCATCTTTCCTCTCCTTCATATGCCACAGTTACCAAGAAGACACAGGAGCCCAACCCTGCTCCTCCTTCTCCAGCAGCAGGGCAGGTGCCTCCCTTACGAGCAGCACCCTCATGGGATGCACATGAGTATGAGGCAGGCAAGAGAAAACTGGAACTACAGTCACAGCTATTTGTTAACTACTTAAGTAACAGAGAGGACAGAAGGAAAGTTAGTCCCAAGTGGAAGCGTGTAGGGAGAAGCTTACTGCTACATTAAGGATGCGCTTTTAATTAAGGTTTATCAGAGTGATAATTAATGATTTTACCACAGGTGTTCTCAGAATAATTACCTTCTATTTCCTTACATAGTACACAGTCCTTGGAAGCAGAATCACAACTGTTTCTCCATTTAACTTTCCTTACTTTAAAAGCTATTGCTTGTTAAACGTGTTTTATTATTCATAGTTGGGGGGTTTTCTCTCTTTTTCAGAATATTGTAGTTTTTCCAAAGACCACAGAATAGTCTTCATGTGGTCGGGTACAATCCTGAGCAGCAAACAAAATATGGTATGCATTTCATTATGCTTGGATCTAGGAAAACCTCTTTATTTTTAGAGTTAGAGATTTTATTTTATTTATATATATGTGTGTGTGTGTCTCACTATTACTGCACATATGGTACAGATTTCCCTCAGTTTTACACTGCATTTATGAAGATTGATATCTCTTATTGTTGCACTTGTATATAGGTCCGAACAAGTCACCTTGTTACACATCAATACTTGTAATGTGTACTCATATAAAAGCTCTAGTAATAATCTATACAGATTTATCTGAAGACTAGTTGTGCAGATCAATGCATTAACTAGTGATTACTTAGTTTCCTGTTAGTATTTCTGCTAATAACAATACTTTGTGAAGTGGCTTGGGCTTTCTTAATTGCCAAAAGAAACAGGCTCCTGCTTCACACAGGCTGCAAAGAGCCATTGGGTCACATTTTTCCCTAGAACTTGAAACTCAGAGTTCAGCTTTTTATTAAATTTAAAAACGTAAGAGGGTAAAGACAGGACTTTGCAAAGGGAGGAGAAAAATAACACACAAAAGAGAAAGAGACTTAAGGCAACGAGCCCTACCTTCTCTCATGTTAATCCCTGTTGGATTTGCTTTTTAAGTACGCAAAATTACATTCTGAAATTAATCACAAGTGGAATTTGTCTAGCAAAACTCCCTCCAACACCACCCATAAATTAACAGGACCATCATCTTTTCCCTGTATTTATACCTAAGGCTGTTATCTTTATACTGAACAATGTTCAGCCCAAGGCATTTTAAGAAGATGCAGAGACCTTTCTACGCAGCAGGTTCTGAGTCAAAACAACAGCACCAAAGGGCACCTGTGATGGTTTTATTTTAAATCAGCAGCTAAGGTACTTTGACCACATGCAGGGCACCGTGAGCATCAGCCCAGCTAGCAGCTGTTAGGGAAGAGAGCCCCTGCTTTCCTGCCGTAACCCACACAAGGGCACTGGAGACTCCTACACACTCCTCTGAGTGCTGGCAAGGAGGCCTGAAAATGAACACGCTACTACTGTGAAAGAAAAATAAAATCAAAGACCTTGCATCCAGCCAGTAAGTGCTCTCAGGTAGCTTACCCACTGGGAAATCACACATATACTTCTTAATGCAAGGAGCACGTTCACTATCCTCTGCTTTGTTTGCCTTGAAGTACTGCATAGATGGATATTTGA